GCCAGTTCCCATCACTGGCATCACTGCCTGAGTTCTGCCTCTTGTCAGATCCCTACATGGTCCATGGAAAAATTGTCTTCCATGAAACCGTGGCCTGTTAGGGACAGGGCCGCGCAGCTGGAGGTGAGCAGCCGATGGGCGAGCGAAGCTTCCTCTGTATGTACAGTGCTCCCCACTACTCTCAGCGCTGCCCGAGCTGTCTTACTTCACAGATAGGTGAGCGAAGCTTCCTCTCTATGTACAGTGCTCCCCACCACTCTCATCGCTGCCGGAGGTCTTCCTCCTGTCTTACTTCACCCTCCTCCTGGCCTGGCCAACTCCCACGTTGGTCTGTGAGAAATTGTCCATTATATCAAAATCTTGTCATGAAAACTTTGAAGAAATGTAAAGAAATTTCCTGTAACAAGAACGTTTTTGATTCTGGTACTAAGCTGCAGAAAGACGACTAGTGAGTCATTCCTTAAGCTTGCTTCACTTTCACAGATAGCAGTGGCAGTACACTCCAACATAGATATGTGAGTGGTCAGCCGTGTCGTTGTGCCAGGCATTGTCTAAGCACTCCACAAATAGTAATTCATTTAACTCCCCCCACAACCTTATGAAGCAGGCATATTTTACATGGGGAACTAAGCTACAGGAGAAGTAACTTGCCCACATTTCCATGCTTTGTGGACCCAGTGCTCTGGATCCAAAGCTCATGCTCTGATGAATTCCGCTGTTCTAGGGAAAAGTGATCACAAAAGTGTCATCTCTTTTCTGGGTGAGCATGTAGTCTTTCCTCTATATGAAGGCTTATTTCAAAAAATAGCTTCACCATGCACTTTGCTGTGATAAAAGTGGATCTGAACCATCACAATGCTTAGAACTGGGTTTCACCTTTTGTATTTATTCCTTGGATTTCATCAGTTCTTTCTTTCTTTTTTTTTAATCATTTAGGCTAATAACCCAAATTATATGATTTACTTAAAAATGACATTTTATAAATGGTGGTAGGGAAATTAGGTGTAAACTAAACTACTTATGTACAACATCTATAAGTCACCAATTATTTTTTAAGTGGACACAGTGATGATTCCTATTTTTGTACCTTTATCTTTCCTATAAAGAAGCGTATATTAACAATGGCAGCATCTGAGCCAAGGGCACAGGCGCAGCCCTTGCCTACTGTCCACACGCTTTTCATCAGAGATTCTTGGACAGGGATGCTCATTTGTGTCACCAGTAGTGAATAGGTGTTGAATTGGCACCTGCTGCCCCTGAGAGTCCAGACTATTTAATATCCTCACATTTGATGTGATTTTTAACAGCTCTCTACAGACAACCATTCCCACCTAAGGTGTTTCCCCCATGGCTTCGGCAAGGTTTTAAAAATAAAAGAGAGGGTAGTTAAGAATTTTCAAAAGATGTTAAACATGAAGAAGAGATCAAACAAAACTATGGAGGAAAGGAAGTATTAATAAATGTTTATGAAAGATGATGGAGAAATGACATGTCTTCTGATAAGATGTTTGTCGTAGAGCATGCCAGGGCCTTGTCGGGTTTTAGCCAGGCAACAGATGGACGTCCAGGGTGCTTTCTCTCCTCCTGGAATC